GAGCCTAGCACAAACAAATAATTTTGACGCCGGCTCATTTAGGGTTTAGGATTTGGGGTCTAGGCATTCAGGGTCGAGGATTTAGGGTTTAGGGTTTAGGGATCGAGCTGCAGCCGAAAGGCCAAGAAGGAGCCTCAAAAGTGCAGGCAGGCCTTGGTGGGCTCCTAAGCCAAGCTCCCGCATCCTTCGAGTAACTTCCTGAAGTGAGGGACGCAGGGTTTGGGGCGCAAGGTGTCGTTCTATACCCAAACCCCACACCCTAAACCCAGAACCCCAAATCCCAAACTCCAAGCCCTAACTATAAGTTTCTATGGTTCCAAAATCATCGCAGGAGCGTGAAACCAACGTTGCCATCAAGGCCTTGGGCGGGTTCGGCGCTGGAGGGCTCTGACTACCGGCTTGGAATTTAGGGTTTAGGGTTGGTGAGGGAACCGGACAGGGCTTAATTACTTTACAAGCAGGGTTCAGGGGATTCTTGTAATGGCTTGGCAAAGGTTCTATAAAGGTTTTGCAGAGTTTTACAATCTTCAAATAATCTGGTTTCCGAGAGTAGTTATGTGGGACAGCACATGTTGATTCTGTTTTTGTATTTGGATACTTCGGGAAAGGTATTTTGGAAGGGCTTTCTAATTAGGGTCTTGTGTTTGTGTCATGGATGCGTCTGAAAGTGGCTTCAAGGGGTGCGCAAACCCCCTAAGTAGACCCCAAACCTTACACCTGAACCCTTAATTCCCCAACTCCTGAGGCTTCAAGCTCCCAAACCTTCGGGCTCGGAAGTCACATCAACACCTTCATAGACTTAAGCTAGAAGCCTAAACAATTACGAATCTTAGCGTCAGGGTTCCTTATTATAACTCTACTATAAGGGATCCCAAAACCTTATTCCAATTAACTAAAGCCCCTACGTTATCTAGGTTCCCCTGTAGTATCCTTTCGCCCGTTTCTCTCTTTCGGTTCACTTTGTAAGCACCAAAGAGTATAGTAGAAGCCCAAAAGTTGGAAACCCACTAGCCTCAACCCTTAAGAGTGATATATAGGGAATCTCAGCACTATTTGTCCTTAATCCGGTTTCCAACTTTTTGGGGTTTACTATAGGAAAAACAACAAGTACCATTATTATTAAGGGGCTGCTGGGGAAGCCAGTTATAGAGCATGGCAAAACCCGTTGAGGGCTTAGGGCCTTGGGTTCAGGATGATGATAGCGAATCCCAGAAAGCTGGAACATAGGCTTAGGAGGATTTGTGCCAGGATCTCTCATATTTCACCTCAAGGGCATGAAGACAATGATTGCCCAACTTTCTAGGTTCTACTGTATCAGGTTTACGGCGTGGCTTTGCTTGGAGTTAGCGATTGGGGGTGCAGATCGACGGGTCTAAGTCTAAGGTATAGGTAAATAATTCTTTTGGAAGTTTCGAGTGATCCATAACTTTGACACTCAGCCAAGTTCAGCCTTGCAAGGCGTTTCTCCATGTGGCAGAGAACGTGTTGCTGGATCGGTGTAACCCGCGTGGGTTTCACGCATTCACGGACGAAGACATCGTCCTTCAATGGAAGCGGCTTGCAGTGCAAATGCCGTCGACAGCGATGGAAGAGCGGCTCATGATTCGATATTTGATCCGTTTGAGCCTGAAACGAACTTGATGTGGAGAAGGAGAAAAAAGTGAGAAGTTTCAATCCGTCCCACTCGCAGTTTAGAAGCATCCACCCTTCCTGCGATCACGGTTTAATGATCATGAGAGCCAAGATTCTTCCTTGCAGCCTCCTGCTCCAACCACCGGAGCATTAATGTGGAAGCCTAGATTCTAGATTATTCCATAAGGTTCCAGTAAAATATTTCTAGCAATAGTATACCAAGCAAATCTGATCATAATTATTTTGTCTCCTAGATTACACTTCAACGACCTCCGATGTTTCATATAGGCCCAGAAGCTCAGGCAGCCCGGCCTCGAAGCCCCCCCCCCCACTTCACTCCAAATAGGCTCTAGACTCGAGACTAGGGAATAGGGTTTAGGGTCTAGTGGTTTAAGGTTTCGGGGTTTAGGGGGTTTAGAGGTTTAGGGTTTGGGGTGTAGTCGAAACGTAGAGATACCTTACTCGAACTCCTTTCAATTTTTTCTTCAGACCCTACGAAGACCTCATCAGAACCACAGTATAACCTATAAAAGGCTACGTTCTGTTGCAAACCCTATTCGAGCCACCTTAAGCACCAGTTTTGTTGCTCTGAAATGCACCCTAAGCTCTGCACCTAAGCCCTGAGCCAGAACCTTTAAAGGAACCCTCTTCACACAGTAGCCCTTCCCTTAAATCCTTCACAGGAACCCTTCCGGGGAATCCTGATAGTATCCTCTCTGGGTCCCTTTAAAGGAACCCTTTCTAAGGATCCCTTTCAAGGAGCCCTTGAAGGGAACCCGAAACCCTACATCCTAAACCCTAAACCCTTTAAGGGGACTCCTTTTTCCCTTCATCTTCGCTCCGAAGGCTTCCAAGGAGAAGTTCGCCAGTTTCACCGCGAAGCAAGCAGCCGGAGCCAAGGATGGGACCCTATGCTGACCTGTCCACGCTCTTAAAGGATTTACTAGGGTTTAGGGTTTAGCATTTATTAGGGTTTAGGGATCAGGGGGTTTAGGTTTTAGCATTTATTGGGGTTGAGGTTTTAGGGTTTAGCATTTGTTTGGGTTGAGGGTTTAGGGTTTAGCATTTATTAGGGTTTAGGGTTTAGCATTTATTTCTAGGATCTTTAGTATTCTGATTGTTGATAACTCTTATCATTACCACTACTATTACTGTTACGGCTTATCTTTTATCTTTGCTGTTAGGATTAGCATGTCGTGCCGTCTTTACATGCGGCTGTTTGTTTGTTGTTCAGAGTTACTAACCACTCTGTTGAAGGCCCTTAACCCTAATGTAGGGGCCTCAATAGTTTAGATAGGGTTGCGGGGGTTCCTTCTTATACTTGTAGTAGAATATCCCCAAAACCCTATTCTAATTCTTAAGGCCCTACATTCAACCTTGAACCGGGGTAAGGTTTGTTTAATGGGCTCTACGGAAATCACGCGGGGGGAGGACCAGGGTTTTGAGGGTTAGGGTTTAGGGTCCAGGCCTTTCAAGTACTCGGAGTTTTCGGAACATAAGACCCTCGGCCGTTGACCCTAAATTCCGGGCCCTGTAGCGGCCACCCTCAAAACCTATAGGTTTTCTTGGTGTGGAGTGGTCTAGGGGTTTAGGTTTGGGGTTTAGGGTTTAGGGTTTCTGTCACCTCCGAGTGTTTTGTGCTTGCGGCTTGGCGAGCAAGGCAAAGGGGTTCAGGTTTCAGGGGTGTATTGCAGAAGTCTGAAGGTTTTGTTCCATGGTATTGGTTCATAGTCCCTACTACAGTTGTAGTATAGTCGTATACCCAAGAACTCTATTTCGAACGTTAAGGCTTCTATGGTATTGGGGGGTCCATAGGACAGTTCTAGTTTAGCAATGTGAGGTAGATGGTGTTGGGAGTGGTTGATAAAGGAGGGGAAGAAGTACGCCTTCTGACTTCTGGTAGTGAGGAAGACGGTGCCTGCTTGTCATGTCGAGGGTACTTGCAACTCACCCATATATGGTAAGACTAAGAGCAGTCTATTAAGGTAGGTCTGAGATTCTGACACACTAACGCTGTGGCAGACAAGGGTCCGTAAACCCAAAGCCCCGTTTCAGGTATGCGAGATGGTAGGGATTTAGCGCTTGGGGTTTCTAGGGTTTCGGGTTATGAAGTACCACCTGTCTGTGGGACCGCAGTTGTCTCGGTGTATGCCTAGTATAGCAAGGCCATATTACCCTCCATCCTGAACCCTAAGCAACAAAGTGCCAAAGCTCAGGATTTTGTGACGCTCTGGCACATTCCTACCCATAGGCCCCATAGTAGTTCCTTTCTGGGGTTCATATTTAGAATCCTTTTCGGTAATCCCAAAAAGGAACTACTATGGGGCCTATGGGTAAACCCTAAACTTCCCTGGACCTTGAACCCTACAGCCTCCGTCTGCCACCGCATAAATCTCCTAGCTAGATTGCACGTAAGAATATATATATATATATATCTATTTATATTTATATTTATTTATTTATTTGTTTATGTATTTATTTAAATTTATATACACACACATACCTGTATGTAAATGTATGTATGTATGTATGTATGTATGTATGTATGTATGTATGCATGCATGCATGTATGTATGTATGTATGAGTATCTCCCTGCCTCCCCGAGCAGCCAGGCCGTTCTGCAGAGGATGTGCGGATCCAACGTGCTTTTGCTGCACTCCAGCCCGGCAGAAGCGGCAGGTTCAGGGTTTTAGGGTCTTGTAGCCTTATAAGGGATCGTCAAGCCCTAAAATAAAATCCTAAAGCCTCTTGATTTGGTGGGTGGCTCTCTTGGGGTCCTTTTCATAAGGGTGCCGTAGGACATTGGGGACGTACCCCAATTTAGAGAACTACCCATCTATGTATTCTAAGGAGGGTCTCCATATAAACCCGAACATGGCAGTTGTAGGAACCCTACAAGAAAAGTGAACCTTGCACCCTACTCAAGCAACTAGCTGAAGGTAACCTTTCCTAAACCCGTAAGCCCTCGACCTCTGCGGACCATGAAGCTTAAACCCTACAACCAAGTAGCTTCTTCCAAGCCCAGGACACCAGTCTCCTTCAGATGTCGATTCAGACCTGGCGAGAGGTTGCTCTCCGGGATATGTTCTGGAATCGATGTTTCAGGTAAGTTACCTCTAGCTTTTATAGGCGTAGTTTTGCTGTACCCTAAACCCTAAACCCCAAACCCTAAACCCTAAACCCTACGAGGTTTACATGCAGTGTTGGGGGGTTTAGGAGTCTAGGAGGGCTACAGAGGTTTATAGGGCGTTATCGGCAGATCACAAGGCTTCATTGCAGGGTCCGTTAAGGATTGATTGGTGTAGGGATCTCGTGTATGATATAGCTCCTAGTCCTGTAACCATACTGCTGACATAAAGGGCCAGTTGGATTAGGTTCAGGGTTCTAGTGGTGGGGGTTCTTGCTTTACCTATAGTCTCCTTTGTAGTTCCTTCTTGGGGCTACCTTATGAAGGGGATCCTAACTATAAAACTGGTTAAACCCAAAAAAGGAACTACAATGGAGACTATACGTAGGGTTGAAGGATCGGCTGGTTGGGGTGGTGGGGTCTTCGGGCTTGTTGATTTGGGATATTTTGTTTCAGTTGTTTGGTTCAGAGTGTTGGTGTTCACAGGTTTAGGATGTTGGGTTTGGGGTTCTCGTCCTAGCCATTTGGGAGTTGCCCTAAGCTGGAAGCATCACAGGAGAGAGTAGAACACGAATAAGGGTACGTGATATGCACGACTGTAACTTGCTCATTCGCTACTGCCTCCGAATTTGGGCTTTGGGATATAATTCTCGAAAAATGGGTCCCCTTTAGGGTCCTGTTTATAAGGGTGCCGTACTACATTGGGGACACCAAAAGGGACCTAGAGAATTAGCCATATGGCTTCTCAGCAGCAGTGCGGCTGGGTGACAGGATTTGAAATGGGGACTTGGCTTCAGAGATTTGGGTCCACATAGAGTGATCTAAGTAATCAGTATTAGTTTCCCCGATAGGCTCTATATTAGACCCTACATAACTCCAACATTCTATCCACCAAAACGCTTGTCTCAGCATTGCGTAATGCCCCAACACCACACTCCCAAAGGCTCCATGTACCTTTATATAGTCGATACTTAGGCCTTAAAGGGGTTCGTAGGTACTTTATGGCCTAAGTATAACCCTAAACCCTAAACCCTAAACCCTAAACCCTAAACCCTAAACAATCTACTATATTGGTACATGGAGCCTTTGGGACTATCGTATTCAACCTTAGAGCAACCCTTGTCGACACCCGTTGACAGAACCCTTACAGGAATCCGGTTGAATTCATGAAGGCCCCTAATCATGTGTAGTCTCCCAAACCCAAGTAACTAGCTAATGCTCTAATCTTCAAGACGACTATCCTAAACCCAAGTACGGTTTTTAGGTCCTTTGGACCCTCCGGGCCATTGTGAAAAACAAGGCTAGAAGCAACGCATTGACTTAAAAACCTTACTGTACCTATAGTCTCCTTTGTAGTTCCTTTTGGGGGATACCTTATAGAATCTTTAATATATAATTGGTTAAGCCAAAAAAAGGAACTACAATGGAGACTATAGGTAGTCCTCGAGAAGCACTGTCCAGGGATGGGTGTCCTTTTATTGGAGCGGCCGGATTGGAAGCAAGTCCAGCAGACTTTAGCCACCGGGCGTTTGGTACACTCCACCCTCAGGGCCACGGGGCGAGCTACGTGCCCAAGTTCAAAGGCCTCATGCTGGCAGAGCACACATGTCATGATCATGACCCTCAATCAATGTGCATGAAGACGGTATCGCCTGCCCAGCTGCGCAGATCGCAGCCACTGGCAAGTCTTTCGCTGCTATTGATCTGCGGGCTGCTTTTACGGCTACGGATGATCTGCAACATGGCAGAGCAGCTGGGGCTGCACGGGTATGCCTCCCCCCGGCTCAACAGGCCCATCGAGCTTCCCGCATGGGTTCCACACCCTAAGCACTCTGGCTCTCCCTCCTAAGCTTACACCTTGGAGCCACTAGTTTAGTCATGTCACAATGCTCGGCGCGAAGCTCAATGCCAGAAACCTAGGCTTTTTAAGCTTCTAGAGTTATAGTTTTGTTTTCATAAAGGTTTTCCATACTTGTGTTTCGATTAAGTTTGTTCTAAACGCGATATATCTGAAGCTAGCGATCCTTGGAATAAGAAGGCGTGCTTTTGGCGTGAAAAGAATGCACGAAGTATAGAGGCTTTTGCGACAGATCTGAAACACTGAACGCTGCATCAGCTGGAAATTTGAGACAAGAAGACATCAACTTAAGCCCTATAACATGTAATAGCAGTAGTGCAAAAACGAAAGAGACCAGACTGACGGAGTTCGAAGTCTCTCAAGCCTTGTAAACCTTGCAGGCCTTAAAAGGTTACCCCGGTTTGCAAGGTAACATCGCATTCCTTCGCGCTTTGGAGACATATCCCTTGGCGGGCTTCTTCTAATTGCAGGCTACTTTGCCGTTGCCCCGAATAGTGAAGGATCTCACTATCTTGGTTCATATTGGTTCCCCTGTAGTTTTCTGGAATCCCATGCAGTCGGGTATTTACTGCTTTCAAACGTTATAGTACTGCCTTTAGCGTAGCAGAACCTTCAACCCAAAGCCCTAAACCCTAACCCCTAAACCCGAAACCCCAAACCCTAAACCCAAAGCCCTACACCCTAAACCTCTGAAGAACAAGAAGCCCTTTTGCAGGCGCTGGTGGAAGAGAGGCAGGCAGCCGAGGTGGCGGAGGCAGCCTCTCAGGAATGGACTTCAGGGTACCAAAACACCCTAAACTTTAAACCTTACCCTGAGGAAAGGGGCCCTCCAAGCAAAAGAAGCTAAGCCTAAACCCTCATGCCTTTTAGCATTTCCTTGCAGGTTTTCGCAGCAAAAATGATGGTCCAAAGGATCGTCACCACCCCTGGCTAAGAGATGCGATTTTCGGATCGTTTTCCTACGACCCCTTCCCTAAGGCGCTAAATAGCCCAAAAGCCTTATATAGTATGGTCTATGGGCCCAAGCCTTTAACTATGAGTCCTTTGAGCCTTAGGGTTTAAGAAGGAGCGCACATGCAATGTATTCCCAGCCCGGGTTATATTCCCTGTACCGCAGGACCTGATATTCTAAGCCCTGGCGTTACACGTACGAGCCGCCCAGTCAGAATATCATGGATTTGGCGTGTCCGATGATTTCATCAGTCCTGTTCTGGGGCTCGTGGATTCAATTCGGTGTGGTGGTGAAAGGTTTAGGGCAAAGCTTCGACGCTGTCGATGCTTGGTATGCACATGCTGCTTTGCTCTTGTTTCGTTTTACAACATACCCATACAATATCTTGCATGTGTATATATATATATATGTATCTTTCTCTCTCT